CCGCAGGGACACCTAGAACATGTGGCGCAGGCTGATGGTTGCTCACCAGAGCAAACCATGTTAAGCATCAATGAGGAGATAGATGCCCAATGGGCACAAGTAAGTTGAAGAAGACATCAGGATCCATATAAAGTTGCTGACACAGTTGCCTAAAGCATCAAAACAACTAAGGGTTTTTGCAAGATTTATGACAAAGAATTAAAGCTGGATTATTTGCAAGATGGTAGAAAGGAGTGTACAAATGGGCAGGTAAGATCAGGATGACATGTTGTGTCATAGTCTGTATTGCAGAAGGCCACAATCAAAATGAAGAACATATGTTAGAGACAGAGGACAGGGAAAGATTAGCAATATAATATTCTCCTTATACCTAGTCCATTACAAAAAAAACCCACCTTGCTCTGATAGTGAAGGGAATGGTATTGATTCTGAGATATGCAGCTTTTCATCTAGGCAGCCAGTGCTGCTCCTTCCATTTTAACTAAGGAGGGAGTAAGTGGTCCCAGCTCAGTTTACAACAGCCATGTGTCCACACATCAACATCTGTGATGTCATTTAGACACTATATCACAGAGAACATTAGTCCAAAGTCTAAAATTCCTATTGGTCCAAAATTGATAAAAGCTATATACAGTGATATGTAGCAATTACAGTCTAAATGACAAGAGAGTGTCAGAAGTTAGAAAGATAATGCCAGATGAAAAAAAAATCCTCATTTCTCAAAAATGAGATGTTTTATATTTAACTATAACYATAGCTAATAAGATGCTTTGGCAGCTTCACTTTATTACATCTAAGGGGAAGGAAAACATAATAATAACGAAGAGGACAGAYTAACAAAATCAAACTTTTCTTTATAATCTCAATTCAAATCTAGTTCCTACGGAAGCTTCTGAGTTTAATGAGAACAAACTTTAACCCTTACTATAAAGCTGGAATTCTTCTGTACTGTCCTGGCTTGGACAGAAACGCAAGCTTCAATTCAGTCATGTGACATCCAGTTATAAATTCAAATGTATTGTAGTATATGCATGCACAATTCTTATTATTATATGCACAAAGCTGAACATCCCAGCACAGTTGTGCTGGCAAGTATGTATCATTTGTCACTGTCAATGCACTTCAGCTGTATGTGATTTGAAAATTACCAATTTCAATCACTCAATATAAGCATGTTTTAAAAGTGCAAATTTTTCATTAGTGACTTTCTGGCAGCTTAGGAAGCTGTGGTGTCACTTCATTGCACCCAGCTCTTCTTGCACACCACATTGAAAGGAAACAAAAAAAAAAAAAAAACGAAGGACCAAAAGAGGACCACTCAGAGAAAACTGAGCACAGATTGCTCACTGCTAATGGACTGGGGACAGTTGGGCAATGAACTTTCTGTATAGACTTGGCACATTTAAAGCAGCTCATTTAATGAGTCACAGGTTACTGCACTGATCAACTGACCAAATGTCTGCAGGCATCTGCACCCTATTTTCAAGAGTATCTTGAAACACAGACTTCTACTTTGACCGAGTGTTAGTTTAAGTCTTTGTTGTACTTCTCCCCAGAGCCTTAAGAGTATTTTCTTTTCTTTTCCCACATGTGGGAAGCTACATGTGAAACTTTTTCTGTCAAGGTGCAGTTATGCTGTTTACTTATTTGAAACTGACACACAGCTCTTGGAACCAAGTTTTCAAACCAGGAGCTCTTGTGTTAATGCAATACTATGTATTAMTTTGGGAATTATTTTATTCCAACAACTATGAATGGGCAGGCTCTGAATGCTGCTTGAGACGCCCTGTGTGTAGGAGTTTTTGTGTTTTTAGGGCTTAATAAGTTAGAGAGCTTAGCGAAAGTAGATGATATAGTATAGTATAGGGCATAGAGCTTAGGGCATGGCGCTCAGAAGATCTCACGATGTCACGGGAGTTAGGAGCATAATTAATTTATGCAGTTTACTGATAGCCCCATGCCATACAAGGCAAAAAGTAGAAATTAGTCTCCCGATTGGGCAGCAGGTGAGTTTCCGCATTCAACTGGAGTATATAAGCAGACTGAACTGTGCAATAATCGCCATTTTGCCGCATCCCCCATACTGGTATCTGTGCTCTATGGCCCTGGGGTGAGGACAACCCCAGGTCAGTCCAGCTAGTGGACAAGGCGTGCCCACCCCTGTCAGCAACACCTGTGTCTTCCTCACCCTTTTCTTTTGTCAACAGCAGAAATAGTGAACAGGCTTGCAACTAAGTCTTATCTCAAAATACAGAGCAAATAAGGCCCTTCGTGAAGGCATATCCAGGAAAGTATTGTGAAGGTCGGCATGAGAGAGGCAAATGCCATACCTCGACATAAAAACAGGAGCTATAGCCTCCAAGCAGCCCACAAGGTAACCCCTCCAGACTATTGAGCACTGGTAAAGCTTGAGGGGCGTGAGGAAGGATTTTAGCATCTGCCCGTGGTTTGCTGCCTTCCCTAAATAAATAAATGAGGATTTCCAGATTCAGTTACATAAGCATTCCGTGGTTGATGCACTGCTCCAAGTTCTGCACAGCCAACTCACTCCCTGATTTAAGGGCAGTCTTGTAGAGTTCCTGATGTTCTCCAGTACTCCAAACATGCAGGTAATGAGTGACAGTAAACAATTTACTAATGCATGATTCATGCTTATGCTAATGTAGACATCAATATTCCTTCTCAAGCAAACTGAACAGAACTGTAATGTCCTTTCTGAAATTTTGACTCACTTGAGATGCGGAGCWAGAGATGAATGTTGCAGATTTTCTTCTATCAGAACTTCTGTGGCTTTATTGCTTAATTTTTTTCCTCTTATTCTTTTCTCCTGAAAAAAAAAAATGTTGTCTTGGGTACACCATGTTCTTCTGTTGAAATCTATTGRGAAAGTGTATATGTATCTGAAAGCAGAATCATTGTCTTTAAGGAGTAGTTCTCAGTATATTTTATACWGTTTCTTTTTATTTTCTGTTTTTTCCATAGTAGATTGTTTGAGGAAAAAAAAAGGCAAAATGGTAAAAGTTACATAAAATATTTGGTCCAGATCCCAATGGATATAAATTGTCATTGTACCATTTGAAGCCTCTTGAGGATTAGCTTCACCAAATCAAAGTGTTCTTTGTTTTGTAGTATGTTGCTGCTACACAAAGARGATAGAACTTCTGTAGCAGTGTGTCCTTGAATAACCTAGCTTGCAGTGCCCATTTCCATTAGAAAGCTACTACCAACAGTAATTTCTAAGTGGTGCTGAGTGTGACACCTGCCTGTTCACGTACCATTTACATCTCTCAAGACATTTTCTGTCAGCACAGAGGTAAGCAAGATGTATGCTCTGTGTGAATCCCACATCATCATTAGCAGATTATTATGCCAACCTGCTGTAAAGTAATTACAGTGCTAGGAGGTGAGCTGGGAGGAAGTCAGTGATTAAATACTTRCCACCAGAGCCAGCTCACATCATAGCAGCGTTTCGCTCAGAGGCCATCAATCTACTTGCAAATTRCTGGCCAGGGCCATGAGCTGAATTGGACCTTCACCGAGGCCTTGAAAGGGATGTTCAGATGTACCTGGCCTCTTTTCCTATCAAGGGGATTTGAATTTTATTTCAGTCTCACATAGTGCAATACAGAATAACTGTGATTTTTAATTAGCAGCTTGAGTTTGCTCTTTATGCTGCTTAGCACTTGAGAAATCTTTCCCTAGTTCTTGCAGAGGCATTGCAGTCCTAGCAATGCATTGGGGTCACATTGTAGTGTAGCGCTCTGTCATACAAAGAATATGAAAAGTGTGAAGGTGTCAAAAAACTGATGTGATCCAAATAGCCTAAATAAAATTCTGTCTGACTGAAAAGACCTTGGACAAAATGTGATAATTATACTGTTATCTGTATTTTTCCTCCAAATATTTGCAAGCTTAACGCTTGAGATTCCTGTGAAAAATATATCTSCATGTGTGTTCATGACAATTTGAAGCTTAGAAATTATCAATAACAGATTTTTAGTAAWCCTTGTCCAGAACTGAGCAGCATATTGTGCAAGGAACTGAGCAGCATATTGTACAAGGCCTAGTAAGACACATTCCTTGTCCACAAGGACCTGCTATCAGAATATCAAAGAAAGACAAGACCAAGTAATGCAAATATTCCATGAGTTCAACAGTTTTATTTTATATTTATCCCTCCTCCTCTCACCCATGTTAGAGTTTCACATGCTCAGTTTCTCTTCTGTACCCGGTTGTTTCTGTGTTTTCTTCCCCATTTCTTCTACACTGCTCACCCTGTTCCCAGAGCCAGAGCTGTTAAAAGCTGTGTCAGAGAAGATACCCAATACAGCCAAAATGCTGGAGCGTTTGTAACCTGGGAGACGAGAAGTCTTTCTACTCYTTGGGACACTGGAGAGTCCTTTGCAAGGAGCTTTTCCATCTTTCTATTGTGCGTGAAGAGTCTGAATACATGAAATATAACACCAATAAGTAGAAGGGTTTTCTGATTTGTCTCCAAATGTGGCACTGGAAACGGTATGGATAAGGGTTAAATTCTACCCCAAGTGACATGGGCAGCTGTTGGGTGACTGCAGAGACCATGTTTTGCTTCAGCACACTGTCATTATTGCTCTTCTTTTCTTGGGCCTAGTTTTTTTCCTCTGAAATCAGTAAGAATTCATGACAGATTCAAACAGAAACAGGATTAGGACATGGGTAACACAGACTATACGTATGTCTGAAATCTAACCATGCAGATTAGGGCCTGGTATGATTTGGTGCCTTCAGCTTCCAGACACATACATGGAAGTCTGGATGGCTCCCGCCTGTTCACTGTGGTCTTCATGCTTCCATCCAGGTTGGAYGCATGAAGACCAATGCTACTGCTTCAAGTACTGGCACTTTTGAGAACCTGTCACATCAAAAGTTCAACCAACTCTGGTGCCCTGTCCTTTGGAAATCTCTTCTAGTTTCRGGATTATTAAATACAAGGAAGATTTTCAAAGAGCTGCAAAATATCTGTATAGGTTTATTAAGATTTGGTCCATCAACCACAGACTGCGTTTTTGGGAAAATCTCCCCTTTTCAAACTTTTGCAACTTTTAATTTCCTGATCACGTAACCTGTGACTTGGACTTCTAAGTGAGAAACACATTTAGGACCAAACATTTGGCAGTTCAAAAKCTATGGATGGAGCAGATACTTTCTAAACTGCTCTTAGAGAGGCCAGAAAACTTGGCTTTTTTTTTTCCTTAAGTTAAAACTTTCATACGCTGATCTCTATTCCAGGGAAAGGCACACGACTGATCAGCACACAGAAATCAGTTTACAGAGAAATTTTTGCACATGGCTCAAAAAAAAACCCAGCAAAAACTGACAATGCTAGACAATCTCTTCTGTGACATTCAGGAAAATAATGCCGTGTCACATTAATAGAAGGGGAAAAACAATAGGCATATTTAAACAATTATTAAAAATTAAATGCCTGACACAAGGCAGCTTTCAACCCTGTTCTACCACACATCTTTTGGAAATCTTTAATGGCTATCATTTGAAGTCTTCTCATTTGCTCAGCTCATGAACAAAAGCTTTGTAACGGAGGTTCGAGTGTATGTGTTATCAGCAAAGGCTTCTCTCAAGGGAAATTAAGTGAAAGGACATTTTTTCTTGTCTCATGTTTGACATTCAGAAGTAGTGACGAGATAAAGTAGGCATAAGAGTCTTTCAAAAACAGACCAGCTAGGAATAGCAGCATTTCATAARGACGCGAACCGTTCATCATCTGCTGCATAGACTCCATTAATGTGGCCTGCTTTTAAATCCAGTGTTTCGCAAGGAATCCCATTTTCTATTGTTACTGTCACTTCACATTTTTCTTCTAAATCTTCTGTCTCTGATGACTCTTTATTCTGTCTGAAAACAAGGAAGAGAAAATCATCTTACTCTATTGACCTGCAGCACTCTACCAGAAGTCCACATAAAGAAAATTGCACATTTACACAGAACTGCATTGTAGGCTAGGTACTGAGAGGCATAATCTGGTGCAGACTCCCCAGTATAATTTGCTGTTATTCTCACTCCAGCTGCACTGGCTCGCAATGACCTATACATGCAAGAGCAGGCATCCTCCTGCATAGGCTGAGTGTAAATGCCTCTTTGCTGTATAAACATAAACRGAATTGGGAGGACCAGACTGGAAGCTTGTTTCGTGATTTAAAATCAGGATTGGGAATCAGGAAACCTAGCATAAATACACTGTAAACATGTGGCAAATATTCCTTCAGTTTCTTTTTCTGTAAAATAACTTGAGGGGAAGGGAAAAGTTGTTGCAAGAGAAAGATGGAAGGAAACCTCCAAATCTGTTTTCTTCCTTTAAGCCAAGAAGCTCTGCACTGCTCATCTATCGTGTCCCCATTATATATTTCCTAGATTTCATTCGGTGATGTGKATAAATTAAAACATACTTTTAGAAACTGAACAGCTTTTGACTAAAACCTTCAATGATGGAGACTGAGTGCTCCATATTCCTTGATAATCTTCTTCAGAGGTCAGGGATTCTTATAGCTACAAATCTGAATTTCTAATTCAAACTACATTAACAGCCACCTTCCTACCCCCTTATCTTACTCTACTGAAGTGCTCTAGATTAAACAATTGGATGTTTTTCTCTTTTCCACGCTCCTATTCTCACCACAACCATGTTAAAACAGCTGCTGAATAAAATGACACAAACAAATAAAAACATGATTCTATGTAATGCAGAAATATAAGTCAACATGTCACGATGTTCCTTTTATTCCAGATTCATTCTGACCTTGAGATCTCCTAGTTCGTAGTCGAAAAACCTGCTGTACATTACAGCCTGCAGCATCAGCAGTTTTGGAGGATAAGAAAATCAAAGGTCAGCTCCACTGCTTCTTCCTATCCTGCAACACACACTGTAACAATCTGACTCAGGACAATCACAACAACCTGACTCAGTATGATTGCTAATAACAGTGATATTAGCAATAATAAAATTTTATTGGTCTTTGGAAGATTCTTGGCATTGCAGACTCTAAAAATAAATGTGGGGGTGGCAATGAAAAACTTTGACCTGTGGCTGTCATATCTGCTACTATCGAATTAAAAGGAGAGTTCTTTAACACAAACCTTAGCATGGAGGCATAGTATAAAAGAAGATAGTAGGGGACAGATTCAAAACAAATCAGAGGAGTAGTAGATGTGTGTAACTTGTTGCCGTAGCAATTCAGAGAAGTTAAAAATTCCTGAGTCCAAGGACAGATTGAACAATTTAATGGAAAAGAAATCCACTGTGGGTTCCTCTATATTTAAAGATGAAATCCAGCTCTTCACAAGGCAAATGTTTATGGCCCCTGCTGCAACCAGGGTTTTGGAGGCAGGGGTGGACTTCAGTCCCTCCCAGCGTGGCCAGTGGAGAAGATGGCCCTGCCTCGGCTGTGTGCCAAAATCTGTTATCGGGAAGGGAGATGTTGTAGAGCTGTGATAGCAGAGCAACAAACACACAGAGCTGGGAGACAGCATGTCTGATCCAGTTTGCTGTGAAGTCAATGGCTACAATTACACGGAGCTGAATCGGATCTTTAAATGGGACTTCAAGCTGCAGGTCATTGAGGCTTAGATTTCCCCATGCAGGCACAGTGAAGACCTGATTAAGAAAATCTTCCGATTCAAGAAATGACATAATGAGTCTAACTCATTAGTGAAACTCCATTTTATGCCAATCATGTGCTTCTCTGCTACCCTGAGCACAAACAGGCTCAAGCACATTTGTACTTGCCTGAAACAGGCTATTTACATCCTATTTTAAAGTCCAGTAAAGCTAAAATGCCAGATTTATGAGTAATCAACACTGTTCTTGCATCTGGATTTCCTGCACAGCTTACCGARCAACAGAGCTGCCACTAAGTCAGCTCTGCTCGAGTTTCCAGTAAAACTCGATACTGAATGTGCTGAACTCTTTTTGACAACCCGGTCATGTCTCTGAAGAAGGGATGAGCACTTTAGAAATTCTGTTCTGTAATGTCCAGCCCTTCTTTTGGGAAGCCAAATTGTCCAGGCTGTATCTTTTACCTCTCCAGGCTTTGCAGCAATAGAGGGAACAATTACACATTTATATCACCTTCTCTCTCACCCTGCCATGACACTGATTTGAAAGGAGGATTTGAATTCAATCACAGATTAATCCGTTCCTAGGAACATTCTTAGGTAGGGTAGGAAAACAGAGTGAACAAACAGGGAGAGAAGGAGAATAACAGAAGTAAAGGGACAACAGGAACACAAACACAGAGGATGAAAAATGCCAAGTGACCACAGGTGGGCAGCAGCAGGGCATGGTACTGGCATCTTGGAGATAAAAGCATACAGTTTATACTATATTGATGAAATTGTTCAGGCCTAGCTCAGCTGATTTTCAAAACAGGTAAGGAAAATACTGTCTTTCAGCCTGATATAAACCACAAAAGATTATTTTTAGTAAACGATAATCTTGACTGCTTAGTATTTTTTTTTTTATACTAGACTCATGCAAGATGTTCAAAGATCCCTTAGAGCTAAGTGCTCTACAGGTACACAGGACATTACACAGAAGGCAAGTAGAGAGCTTCCAGAAAATACAAAATCCTCTAGTTTTATAGAAGAGTTTGCCTGAGTTCAGGGGATTAAATGACATAGTCCAGACCACAAGGAAGGTTGTGGCAGGTCTTAAGCTATATGCCGATCTAAAGTACCTGTCTAGACTCATTCTCCACAACAGCATCTACAGCTTGTTTTATTTTTAAACATTGCAAGGGGTTTAACACAATCACACAACTCTTCTGAAAAAATCCAAAATACTGCTGAAAAGATTTAGATTTTCTGAGATGTGTTATCTTTGTCTTTCAAGGTGAAAAGAAAGTAGAATTGATAAATCCCAGCAACATATTGCTTTTCACATGTGAATCTGCTGCACTGATATTTTTGGTGGTAGTCTAACACTCAATATTACATTATCTAGCTGATGGCAGAAATGTAACATTTTCAATTCATCTCCTCCTTAAATGTGTAAAGTCCTAATTTTGTGCTACCCTAACCTCTACAACAACCTAATTTGGGGCAGAAGCTCAGCTACTTCTCACTTCCACAGAAGAAGCTCAGCTCAGCTGAGAAATTTCTATTCCTTATGCCCAAATTTGAGCCAACGGAGATGGGAGGACCAAGACACCACCTGCTCCTTTGCCCATTGCAATTCACTCACACAAGGGAACCATGAGTAGCCTTCTCTTTTTCATCAGTGTTGTTATGGGGCAGAAAGTGAGAGGAAAAGCAAATATCTCTTGCTGTCTTTACTGTCAAATCTCAAACAGTCATGCAGAAATCTGGACCTGAACTTCGGAAGGCCTGGGTCTCTTGGGTTCCTCAGGTCATGAATGGCAAGCATGGCCATGCACCAGCTCACCGAGCAGGACCTCTTCAGCTCTACGCTACTCTTTATCGTATCCTCTACGTAGGCTCCTCAAGTGACAGCCACAAAAGCCTTGTAGCTTTGCCAGCTTTTGACRCTACTGCCCTGAACGGAGCAGTCACTCACCTGCAGTGCCTAAACCTTGGGCAGACYGGCAGCAAATCTCCTTGTAAAGCTTTAACACGCATTTAGGTGGTCTCCAGTTTCATGTTCTTATCCTTCCTGTTTCCCCACTATTCCCCAGCATTACTAACACAATTATTATTTAATTGTTCAGGGTTTCAGCTCCCATCTTTGGGAAAGAACAGAACGGTTATCTTTAGCTACAGAGCGGAGAAGGACTACAGCTGCAGTTTCTCTGAGGCTGATCTGAGAGGCAAAACCATCCCTGCCCACAGCAATCAGTTAAAACAGAAGGAAGGCAAAGTTGCTTACTTCTTGCGCCGCTGAATTCCTGTAACAATGAGGAAAACAATCCCAGCCACAGTGAGACAAAGAACAACACCAAATACGATCAGCCAAACAGGTGTGGAGGGCTCAACGGGCGGTGCTATGGTGGAGGATATCTTCAGGAACTGCAATGTTTTGTCACTCAGGAGGAAGGCACTGTTGATTCTGTTCCGATTCATCCTGCACAAAAAGACAAGCATATGACAGCTCTTTATAATGGTATTTATAACTCAAAATGGAAAGGAAGGAAAAAAATGAATTTTCATGTAGGTGCTGCAAGACTGGTAAGGCTGAATGTGATATTCAGCATGAGGTTGATAAGAATGACACGGACCTTCACTTTTGCATAGCCCGCCAGTAATCTGTGCACACTCACCCACTGCCAAGCTTTGGGCAGCAGAACTTTTTATGTCCGTTTCACTTTATCTGGAAACTTGGGAAACACAGATCAGATCTGAAGTACAGTATTGTTAATTGCTTAGGTTTGGGCCATGTGCTGAAGATCTAGCAGGTTGTCATCTCTGGCTCTATTACTTAGTTCGTGCAGCATCCATAATGGCATGGGAGCAGTAGATATATCCTGCACTGATCAGAGGGTTTGCCTCTCACTGGCCCTCAGTTCCTCAGACTGAACCATCCTGCCTRTTATGTGTCTGTGCATCTGGTCCTGTTGCTGTAGTTTTTCTTAGATTCAAGAGGCACAGGTTATAGTTTGTTCCAGAAGAAGCCTGCACCACTGCCAGCATGCCCCTCTTCCCTGCAAGATACAGCTAAAGGGATTTGTGCTTTGCATATTTTTTTTCTATTATGAGAAACTGTAAGTCTGAGAAATATTCTTTTTAATATGAGTGGTAAAACTGTTGCAAATGATCTCTCTTCAGTGGATATATTCCTCCACATTTATTACTTCTGAGCATTTCTTGCTATTCCTGGATCTGAAACCATGAAAACCATGGCTGAAAGTAGCCATGAAAGCCTGTAGCCATAGTTTCAGTTTTTGCTAAAGGTTAGAAAACTTTGAGGAAAATGTATTCCATACACACGCCCTGAGACACTCTTTCTGATGGCAGTAATATGCTTCAAAGCAGCTTCGTTGTATACAATTCGATCTACTTACCATACTGCAAGTACTTCCTAGGAATAGATATATGGGAGATAAAGGTAAGATTTTGCAAATTCCTTCAGAAATTGTAACATTTGACTACCCCTTAAACAGGAAGCTTTTAGTCTTGATGGAATGCTAGCATTCCTGGTGAGAGGTGAAGGCCAAGGCATGTTAAAAGATTTGTTRTATAGTAAACCTTGCTTGATTTGAAGTGATTTCCATCCTTATGAATTGTTGTGAGCAGTTGAAAAAAATAAGCATTGTTCATCMTCATATTTATACAAGATCCTGGGACTCAGATGAGGAATTGAGACAGCTGACCCTCTTTTTTTGTTCTCAATTTTCAGAGAACCTCACACACTAAAATGCTGATCCACAAATAGCTTACATGCCACTGTAGTATAAAAAATTGAGTATGGTAACCTGAAATCTGAAACAACTGAGTAAAAAGTATTGTAGTTTTATAGAACATTTTATTTCTTGTTTCTAAGGAAGTCAAATTTGAACGTTCAGTAAATTGCATATTTTTTTTCTGCAGATAGACAGCAGTTTAAAAAACAAAACAAACATGCTATAATAGCACACGACTTCTGTGGCAAACAGCACATATAAGAGATTTAAATAAATCAGCTTATGCTGCTGAATGTATCAAAGAATAACAGAAATGCAAAAAAACTCCTGCATTCCAACACTCTTAGAGAGCTTCAGCGAATAAATAATCTGCTTCCCCTACTAATGCTATGAAGCTATTGTTTGGTTTCTCTGTAGGAAATAGTTTAATCTGCTCATAAGCTTAAAAGTTAATCTTTCCAGAAGAACGCATACTCATTCATCAGGAATTAGGCCTCTATGAAGATAACACATATTTTCAAGACAAAGTACAGAATGTCTAAAAACAAAGAGGTCTGTTTTTCCACTCAGTGTTTGAGAAATGTACACAAGTTATGTGGTCTGTGGGAGTCATCCCTACAAATCCCTTATGCTGGGCTGGCAGGCCWCTGCAGTCAGATTACCTGTTTTTCTTTCCCCTCTTTAGCTCCCCACTTTTTTGCTTTTATGAGCTGCAGATTGTGATACTTAGTGGAAAGTGCACCAATTTGTACCACACAGTGCTTTGCACAAGAAATGCTCAGCTGCTATGGTGACCACGTTCTAGAAAGGGTTGGTATGAGAAAAATGTGAGTATAAGATTATTTGAGGCAGGCTGGGACATAACCTACTCTGAGTCATCTGATAGTTGACTTCTAAACTAAAAGTCAGATGAACTGCACCTCAGAAGCATGTGCACCATCAGGCTCCATAAAGGGAGCCTAGGGTCATTAGTCCTGGTGGAGAAGTGCCTACATGTGCAATTTAAGTTTAATGAGACAAATCCCACCTAAAAGTGGTGAAATTCAATCACCTGGGGGAAAAGGTTCTGTCACTGAGACATGCAGCATCTGAATGACACCAATGTGCTTTTGCCACACAGTAGATAGCAAATGGGGACTAGATTTTATCCCAAGACTCCACCATTAAGAGAGTGTCCTGAAGTTGCAATCCCAAGGCTCACAGACTTTGAATTCTGTGGCACTGTTAAAAGTCCTTCTCATCTCACACGCTTGAGAGAGTCCCGACCTCTCGGTTTAGTTCAACATTAAAGAGGCAAAGCGCTCCCTCCTACGAAGCCCTCAGAGGGAAAGCATCCTCAGTCAGCAAGGCAGGAGAGGCTGCAGCAGCAGGGACTGTACCTGATAGCGGCCTCTACCTCACTTCCAGCAACAGTCGTCACGTTCTTGGCAGAATCCGTGACCACAAACCAAAAGGACACCCGATCCGTCACATTGCAGAGCAGCACATTGGAAATCCTGTGGAGGGAAGAATGGAAGGAATTACTGAATAATGCAGGTGCTCTTAAAATATTGCTTTCATCTAAAGAGGGGAAAAGAAGGCCTTACTTCTAAGTAACAGTTAATGCCTGAGGAAGAAATACCGCTCACAGCACTTCCTACTTTCAACGAGACAAGAAAGTAAGGTTACTGAGATCAAACTTGAGTTTTCAAATGAATTTTTGAATCTGTCACAAGCTTGCCTTATCTCAGATATATATCTAGTGTAATTAAAAGGAAAAAATATAGATTTGCATCTTAATCATCACGGCCATGAAAAAGGCTGGGTAATGTTGATGAACCAAGAACTGAATGTTTGACAGGTCATACCACAACGACTCGGGCATGAGGGATTCCTCATATGATTTTAATGTGAGCTCAATCTTTCTGCAAGGTACATTGCTGCAAGAGAAGCCAGAGTCAACAGGAGGAGTGAAAAGCAAAGGAACTGATGTTATTCTCTTTGATGTCTTGCTGCACAGAGTCAATCACAGAGTGGAGACAAAAGGCTAAATTTAGACATCATACTGGCACTGGCCTATGCCTTTAAGGTTATGCTGTGACCTATTTAATCTGTTGTAAATGACTGCTCAGCTCTGTGTGGGGCTCATAGCAGAAGCTCCCAGGGCATGCAGCTGCTCATGGCGTATTATCTAAGTGTCTTTAAAATGACTCTTTTCAGATTCTTTTAAATTTGTTATCTACCACTAACAAGTGATGGAACCACCATTAGAAATTCCTCATGGAAATAGATTATCACGAGTATTTAAACTTAAACAGTGAGGGCTAATACATAAACACAATAGTGGCCGAGAACAGATGGTGCCTCTTCTATCTGTTTTTATTGTATTTATGCGACTAAGGAACAAAACAGCCAAACACCTGTAACCAAACACCAAACACCAGTTTCTGTATACAGAAACTGTCTAAGGTGGCAATTACTACAGCTTTACAAGGCATGTAACATGTGCCACGAAARGACTGCTAAAGCCATATGAATGAAGTGAGAGATCGCAGGAGAGCTAAAAGTGAGAAAATTCTATTTAATTCCACTTGGTGGATAAATACCCCCTAGAATTTGTCTCGGCATTCGCACTTGCTGATCATGCCCAAGCAGTGAGCAGATACCCTGGAAGGCCGCGAGCYGGAGTCGGGATGACTTTTCCCATGGGGGAAGAGCCGGGACTCGCCCCACCTTTGCACAAGGTCTGCCCAGCCCCTGCGCAGACCCACGGGGAAGGATCCATGCCCACACTCTCCCCACACACTACCCGGACGCTACGCGGGCAGCTGGCCGCGGCTGCCAGCCGGGCACRAGGGCAGCCCTTCTTTTAAACAGCTACCGCCGTGTTTCCCATTACCATCACTGACTAGTACCCTTGGTTAGCGTTGGTTGTCGCCTGTCCCTCTCAGAAAAGCAGGTTTTGGCAGTTCTTGTCCCCCCAACCTTTTTCCCCTTCCCAAGGTGACATCCTCCCAGTTCGGACCCGTGAGCCGCCACCCAGCTCCGTTCTGCAGAGCCATCTGCTGGCTAATTAGAGACATCATTAAACGGCCCTTAAATGACTGCCCGAGGTAGGAGACTGCGTGAGGGGGCACATCTTGACAGTAAATGCCTGTTCTCCGGGCAGAAAAGAAGGGATTTTTTAAGGCAAGGCGAGCAGCGGCTTGCTCAGGACAGCTCTCGCTGGGTGTTTTGGGGAAATTATTTATTATTTATTGGTGTGTGCTATTTTGGATAGCATTTAGGAGAGTGCTTGGCTGTAACCACCTTTTCTTTTGCACTGAGATACATATTCCATGGAGATACTCAATAAAATGGAAARCAATGATTTTGCACAGCTGAAATACCCACTTTTTCCTCCAATTGGTCTGGAACAATGTCAATTTTGCAAATAGAAAGAATTTTCATGGCTAGAAGGGTAAAGCTATCCTCCGGGATTTAAAAAAAAATGCTCACATCAWTTTGTTGGAAACAGCCTGAAACTGAAAGGAGATTTATTCCACGTAAACTAAAAGCATGGCACAAAATTTACAGGGGAGGAAAAAAAATGGCTACTTTTGGCTGGTGGTTGACAGATTCTTGCTGATTTCACAGAATATCTGAAGTTGTATCTGCAGAGGAAGTTTTACATCAGGAGAATTTATGACACTGAGATTTCTKTTTCACACTCAAAAATGGGCCAGGCTTCATAATCATTGAATCACAGAGTGGTTGAGGTTGGAAGGGACCTCTATAGATCACCTAGTCCAACCCCCTGCTCCAGCAGGGACACCCAGAGCACGGGGCACAGGGCGGCATCCAGGTGGGTTTGGAAGATCTCCAGAGAAGGAGACTCCACAGCCTCCCTGGGCAGCCTGTGCCAGGGCTCTGTAACGCCCTACAGATATTCAAAACATAGTGCATGAGTAAGGTTTATCCCCCAGAGATAAAGTACATTCAGTAGATAGACTGTCTGAACATCCTGATGTTCTACAGTTTTACAGAGTCAACCACACTCCTCAAAAAGGGGTCATACAGATAAATCACACATATCACACATACCATCCTACAGCACTAAGAGGTACGGGCACTGAACTAGTTGGGCAGCAAAGCTCACACAAGGTTATGTAAATTTTGCCTCTGTCTGCTTCCTGTTGTGCCTAAAATCCTTGCTTGATTATAAGCAACAAAAACCTGGCTTCACTGCCACTTTTTCACCAGCAGAATCTGAACTCTGCAAATCCTTTCAGCCTCCAGAAAGAATAATACTGCTTTTCATAGGAAGTCCAAGGAGGACTGAGTAAACAGCAGTGCAACAATCATCAGCGGGACAACTGCTCTGCAGCACATTGGATTTTTCTTTTCCCTGATGTACTTCCACATAGATGTGATTCACAGCATGCAGAAGCACTGGAAGGCCTCACACTTTCCAATTTTAAGAAAAACTGATGTCTTGATGAGTGTATCTGTAGGCACATATGTAGGCATCTTTTTATTGCCCTCAGTGCCAAAAGCATCTACAGAATCACAGAGTCACAGAATGGTTGAGGTTGGARGGGACCTCTAGAGATCATCTAGCCCAACCCCCTGCTCCAGCAGGGACACCCAGAGCACGGGGCACAGGGTGGCATCCAGGCGGGTTGGGAAGATCTCCAGAGAAGGAGACTCCACAGCCTCCCTGGGCAGCTCTGTCACCCTCACAGGAAAGAAGTTCCTCCTCACCTGGAGATGGGGTTAGCATGTGGTGCCCTAGGGAGCCATAGGAGATATCATCAGAATAACAAGATCCTGGTCTTAGCGTTACAGCAACACAGTAGAAGTTCTAAATTGCATTTTCTTTAACATACACAACCTAACTCCACTGAGTAGAAGGCAAGAGAACCTGGTCTCTTGGCCGGATAACACCATCATTGACCCTTACGTAGATTTAGAGAATTGCTTAGGGATAAGAAAGAGCTGCCAGGAGCTCCAAGGCAGCTGGGTGCAAGCAGTGGCCATCCCCAGTGGGACGACCACAAGACTCAAGGCCACGGCACCATCCTGAGCTCTCCGGAGAGCACCAGGCCCCCTGCAGCTCCGCGCTCCGCAGCTGCTCCCACACCGGGAAATTCTTTTACTTCCTTTGGTGAATAGGAGCCATGGGCTCACCTCAACATAACACGTTCAATTCCAGGAATGTGTATTTTGTTATCCTAARTGGTCATGATGTTTTTTGCATTGAAAAGAGCTCTCTTAGACTGCTCTTAGAGAGCCAGAAAATGCTGATGAAATTTGTCTCTCACTTTTTGAGGAAAACTGCAGCTTTCTTTCRCACAGTGAGACAGTGAGAGGAAGTGTAACGAAAAGAGATTTTGTTACTTGAATGAAGGTAAATGCGTTCACATTCTTTCTTCTCTAAAGATTAACTAGTCTGAGGTCCAAAATAAATGCATATTATTTCAAATGAGTCACAGATTAGAGAAAGCAGGCTTACCAACACAGACTACAGATGATCATTTTCTAACATTGAGAGATCAAAGGTTGGTTTATGTAGTCCATGAACGTGCACAAATGTACATGAGTGTACATATGAAGAATAAATGAAGGGGTCATATATGGAGCAGGAAATAAAAAAAAATGTATTTCTTTACTGGCAAAGAAAGCTTCAATTTATCTGTTTTGATAATCACCGAGTAATTTGATGGATTGTGTATTTTTCCCTTTTCACACAATCTTGACATTTTGACATAGCCTTCAAATATTAGACAGCTCCATAACTTATTAAATTTTGGCTCAGAAATTAACTTTACAGAAAAAAAAAAAATGGGATGCGATGTGCAATCCTGCTCATTCTGAGTTGGATCACTCAGCGGTGATGAAAATGCAACAACAAACTCGCTGTTTCCAGCAGCACAACATTCAAGAGCTTGTCTTTACAGGCTGGCTTTTGTCCAGCTTCAGAAGCTCAACAGAAGGTGTCTTCTGAATTCCTGCAACAACAGCACAGGCAGTGCTGACCCACCAGGCAGATCTCTGGCTCCTGATGCAGCTTGCTGAAGTTAGTGGTATTTGGTCTCCAGCGAGAAAACCAGTTGTAATTGTTCCTGCAGGGCTCAGGGTGCCTCAGTTGGAAAGGGTGGTTGCCACATCCAGGTTATGGTCCTGCGCAGAGTTTGCACCCAGAGTTACATGACTGCACAGCTCCTGTGTGCGGGAGCTAGCAGCTTCCATACCCTTTTGGACATGGAGCGCTCCCACATGTCCATGTGCACCGCAGGAAGGTTGGGAGATGGAGTGCCATCGTYCAGCTCCTCTTCCCTGCCTTCCCGTAAAGATAGGGAAAAGCGGAGAGTATTCCTACAACATCTAACCTGATAGAGACTTTCATTGTCCTGGTAGGAAAATGAACTAAGCAAGCATAAGTTCAGTGAATTCACAAGGCAAATAAACTTAATTTCCATTAATAATTTATTTTCATATGATCTTGATATTTTTTCGATTCCTATACCAAGCTGTCTAATATTTGTTGACTCTGCAGAGAGCCACAGAGCTTGAAGAGGATAAAGTTCATTGACTTCTAACAAAGGTTTTTCAGGGTGTCAAAGCACTATGACTTCGACAGGGAAGAAATAGAGCAATAATAAGCAGTGCCTGTGACTACAACAAATACATAGAAATGATTTTTTATGGATTGAAGATTGGATTCAAATTCCTGAATTAAAAACTTGAGGGGAAAAAAAAAAAAAAAAAAAAAAAAAAAAAAAAAAAAAAAAAAAAAAAAAAAAAAAAAAAGCCTGGATAATCAGCTTTAATTAGCTTGTATCTTCAAGCTCATTTTCTGTAAGTATCATTTTCACTATGTCTTGATGAAATCACTTTTTTATAATAACAGAACATACTTGGCTGTTTTTCAAGCTTAGTGAAATAGCTCTCTTGCTCGAAGGAAGCAGCTTCTGAGGAATCAAAACGAAACAGTGAAGATCTAAGCACTTCTGTTATGTGGATGGGGAGAGCACCTTCTAAGAAAAAGTGCTGGAGCCACAGTTAACATTGGGTGACTCAAGTTAACTGATATCTTCACAAATGTGGGATATGCTTCATCTGATGCAAAAAGTCAGCCTGAAGCAGCTTTTCTTGCAATTAAATGGTAAACCTTCTCCTCATTAGCCTACCAGAACCATAAGACCATTTTTTAAAGACTGAAAAACAGTATGAAAATAATAGGCCTAAAGAAATACACTGACACTGTTTCTTGTTTGAGAGAGAGAGGAACATTTTGAAGATACAGTTTGCTGAATGGTCTGTTTAATCTGGTATTCAATTTCATAAGCAGCAAGGATCAGAAGCCTGAGACGAATACTCAATACCTCAGGGTAGATTTAATCCCAAACCCAATTAGTGCCTGATTTATATCCTGARCCACAACATCTGAAACTTCTTGATGTGAGGCAGTTCAGCAGCTGCAACATTAGGGACAGATATTCCCTAGCACAACACAGCACTCGTACAGCTGCCTGTTTTCCAGCTCCCTGAGCCAGCCCATCTTCAGCACACCATTGCAGCTGGACACTAAGCACATGTGCATTAAAGCTGCCTCCACAAGGATCTGTTTTGTATTTCTGACCCCACTAATTTGCCCCTGGGCTTGGTCTGGTCTCCAGAAGGCATCATGTCCTGCTGCTAGACGCTGCTAAAGGGAATTGGCACAGTCCCTCTGAGGTCCAGGGCTGCGTCAGTCTATATCAACAGGGGAATAGGGCCAAAAACTGAATGCTGCTTAGGACAGAGAGAGTGATGTTTATACGCATCTGGGTTTCAAAGAAATATACTGGAACAGTTTGGGTTTTGTTTCAAAGAAATACACTGAAAAAGTTTGGGTAGCTGTATATACTATTTTCTTCAGCTCATTATAGCAGAGAACGGTCCACTGCGTGCAGCACTGTTAATATAGACAGAGGAGATCAAAGTAGATGCTTACTGAGTGGTGCTCTTGCTGGAGTATCTTCTCATTGCAAAAGCCACCATTGCTTTGAAGAGGTACTCCTCATTTGCATCCCAGGCATACTATAAAGAAAGATGGAAAATAATCAGTTTCAGCACCAGTGCTAACAGTACAAAGGGGGAGAAGAGTCAATGAACTTCAAACGCAACATTGATTTAGAATATGAATAAATTCACTGGCTGTGCTCTGAAAATAGCTTCCTCTCTGTTGTGCAGTGTGCACCAAGGACTTTTTCTCATGGCTGTTGCAAAGTGCAATACAAAGTGTACAGAAAGTTGTAACTTTTCCAGAAACTGCATGAATTTTGTATTTCTGAAAGACGACTGAATGGGGGATGTGAATTTTCTCTTATCAAAGATTAGAACAGAATTCGCCCTACACTGCTACATTCCTGGCTTTGYTTCTTTTGCTGGATGCACTGTGCTAAGAACAAGATTTCCATTCTCTGAGCCCTTTTGCTTCCACCTCCTCAAGGCAGCTGGAAGCAGTTTCTGGGAGATGGATGTCATAACACCAGTAAATAAAATGAGATTATGGCCTTATTACCACACACTGTCCTTGGAACAAGAAGCCTGACTCAGCTATAATGCAGATTACTGCATCACATTTGAAACAAAAGAAAGAAAATAGCAGCCTTACTGCTTCAGTAAGAAGTAAAATGCAGGCTCCAAAAACTTTCCTCTGTTGTCTTGATGATAAATCATGTTTTATAAGTTCAGATTTCTGAGAAAGCTTCACTAGGTTCCCCTGAGCTTTCACTCCCATATGCAGTTCTAAAGACCTGTAAAAACTGCACCTATTACATTTTTATAACAAGAGCCATGACTGAGGCAGACTGATTGAATTCCCCCTTTCAGCAGACTACAAAGATTAATAGTTTCTTGGAAAGATATTAATGGAGGTTAGAGGCAGCTTTCTCCAGTCAGTTAGAACACACATCTAATCTTTAACTTTCAGCATTAAAAAAATCCACACTATAATTRCCTAACCAAGAAACCCAACAGTGTTGGTACGTAACCCTGTTGACAACTTAGACCACTCTTTTATGGATCTTTGTAATACACTCAAGAAATAGCAATATATATCAAAGAGCAGCAAGCTAAACAGAACTGTCAATGTCAAATCATATTTCTCTTTCCTAAATTCTGATTTTGGATGCATGGAGCTGCAATCTCCTAGAAAGAAGGAATCCAGCTTYCAGACACCATCCCTCCTTTTCTTTTCACATCATGTGGACTGGGAACCTAAACACGGAAGGAGGCAGACATCTGAAGTGAAAGAAAAGTCATACTGATCATATTCATCGTCTCTAAACAAATGAGGTATGAAATAGGCTGAGCTACAGTAGGACGGAGACAACACAACTGAGCCAAAAAAAGTGCTTGAGTAGCATTAAAATCACAATTCAGTGGTGAGAATGAGGGGTTCTGACTCACCACCACACTTGCCCTGAGAGTGAAGGAAGGTGTAAATGCAGTGTGACAATGCACCTCAGCCTCAGAAACTTAAACACAAGAAAACTGAGATTGTTTGAAAAAAAAATAYCTTTGTTCTCACTGCACTGGTGAAAATGTGACAGTAATGGCAGCAACTAGCACTAAAAGAAAAAAGAGACTGCATAGTAGAAGAATTAATATAGATGAGAGCCATAAAACTATTCATCATAATTTTAGACATCTGCATTCAAGCCACAAAGCATAATTTGCAGCACTAAAAGGAATGATTTTCCTCCTTTTTTTTTTTTTTTATGTGATACTATTGACTGAATCCTTAGATGCCATCTGCAGTTTTTGAGGACAGGGCCAAAAGGACAGGCAAAAAAGAAGGAAAAACAAAACAACCACCCTCGCAACATTTGTTATCCTACAGATTGAACCAGCTGTAGAGACAATTGTATCAGTTGTATCCTCAAAAATGGATAATGATGAAGCAGACTCCACTTCGCACGTACACAGATAGAGATGCAATGCAGCACTACCAAGCACATGTACTGGGTACATTAATGTATAGTGCAGTACCCGTGTATATGCCCAACGCATCACCAGGAGCCGCACTTGCTCAGAGCTTCTTTAAGTCATAATAGCTAAAAAGCTATCTCAACTGCTGGGGAAAATAATTTGTAGTGAGGAACTCCAGCCTTACCTTAAGGAATAACTTTAAAAAAGCAGAATAAACAGAAGGCTGCAAGGAATTGGGGATCGGGGGGACAGGCAGGAAGAACAGAGCAGCAGCTGGGGGTCTGTCTGAGTGACGAGAGGGAATTGCAGTCTGCCTTCGTCGCAGGAGGGTAAGAGCCCCATGAAAGAGGCGATCAGAGAGGAGGCAGAGAAGTGGGTGGCAGCAGACTCTGTACGAACAAGAAAATCTTCACRTTACTCTGTGCACAAGTACGCAGGGGGGAAAGCAACAGGAAGAAGAATATGGCAAGACAGCCTCTAAGACAGTAAACAATATTGACTCAATGGGCATTAACTGGCCCAAAATAAATGCTGCCTGAAAATCAGAAGCCAATTTCTAATCATCAGCTTTGTCCAATCGAAGGGAAAGGGGCAAAGAAACCTGWCAAGTTTTATGATAGGGCTTTATTAGCTTCATCTTTATTCTGTAATTTCAAAGCCTGGACTGTAGCTGATGAATTGGGATGTTACATCTCGTCTCATATTCCTGTGCAGTTATTCATGTACACTCCGTGTTGCTGTAAAAAGAACATAAATACCATTTGCAACCAGGCTACAAGCAAGTGATAACTATTACCAATGGAAGCTTATGTGAGGATATCAGGACAATTAATGTATTTTGTCTGCTTTACTCTACGAAGGAGTAAACACAAAGACTTTGGTCCTATCGCACTTACCATTCTCTATATTTCAAGAAGGAGCAGAATTAGACCTCGCTGAGTGTGAAAGTCATTCCTAAATGCCTGCTTGCAAAAGAGGAGGCTGATGAGATAATGGGGGATAGATGATCAGCCTAGATTGTCAGCGTGGTGAAGCGCTGTAGTGATACTCCAAGGAAGACAAAACTTACATTAGTAGCAAGAGATGATGATATTGTAAGATTGCCTTGAGTTACCTGGTCTGAACTCAGTATTAACCTGGCTTTGAGCAGAAGGGGACTAGGAACTTTCAAAGTCCCTTCCCACCTGAACGAATCTATGTTTTAAGCAGACAGTCATAGAGACTTTGTTTAAGTGAACATGCTTCTGCATGTAGGAGGAACACATTTTGGAGTCCCATTTGGTGGCAAGACACCAGCTGCTCATCAGCCTCTCTCCCGTTTGTCCCACACCTTGTCTGGAAGAGAGGGGCACCTACTTCTTCACCTGGCCTGCACCCTATGATGGGCTGACTGGCTCTCCTGGCTAGATTGAGAGGTGACACTGACAAGTTCATGGACTTCTACTGGACCTTGCTCCTGCTCACTCAGAACTGCCTTTGGCCCTTTTAGATTAACTCTCTACTTACTTTGCATGCCTTGGAAGCAGGTAGTAACTAGTAGTCATTCTAGAAGCCACTCACAAAGTTAACACCAGAAAGACTTAAGTTCAGGCTTAAAGGTGCCATGTCACTTCCCACTGGTTAGCAAATGACATCTTTTTCAAATAAACCCATTACTTGCAAGAAAAACAATCACAGTTACATGCTAACTATATTTTAGCTGCCCCTTACAGCTCCATTGTGATAAGATCTGTTACAATAAATTATATAAATAATAAATAATAAATAATAAATAATAAATAATAAATAATAAATAATAAATAATAAATAATAATAGTAATAATAGCAACAATAATAACAATAGTAATAGTAATAGTAATAGTAATAGTAATAGTAATAGTAATAGTAATAGTAATAGTAATAATAATAAGTGACACTCTCTACATCGAAGTACAGTCTAGGTTATAAACAAATAATAAAAATGGTGCCTGTCTCTACTCGCTTCACACAAAGCAATGGCACGGGCTGAATCATGGACAGAACCAGACTAGCCCATTTGCAATGCACTAATGTACTCTGGAGTAATCTTGCCAGTCACAAAGTGAAATGCTTATGGGGTCAGGGTCTTCTGTTATCATCGAGACTGAGGTGATTCGGAAATGAAGGAAACAAAATTAAATATCAAAGCACCACACCAAGATAAGCTCAATTTCCTACTGCGATACAAGAAGAGTTCTACCTTTTCCTTTGCTAAAATAGGARGGAAAGTGAAGTGTCCTGAATTCTGAAAATAAAACGAATTTCAGATTGAGAGTAGCTTCAGCATTTGAAATTTAGTAATTTACAGAGAGCATTGCAATGGTTATAAAAAGAACTACTAGATGTTTGAAATTAATAAAGTGTTCGTTACCTATGGATATTTTCGAATGGCATCATATTGTTTTCTTCAGATTGTTGTTCTAAAATGCTATTTTATATTTTACCTCTTGTAGATCTTACTGTGTTATTTACTGTGTCACAAAAATGAAACTGCTATCTATCTACAATAAAAAGAATCTCATCAGTTATTGCTTATTTTACATGTAATAAAAATCACCTTTAGGACTGTTGATTTGTAGTATACAGTTTCTGTAAAGGAAAACAGAAAAAATACAAATGGCTGATCAAACATCCCTCCTTTATTATGTTTGGGCTAGTAAAAACACTAGGAAAAAAGCATTGCTTGGTACTGTGGTTTAAATTCCTTCCAAATATTTTGAGCAAAGACTAAATCAAAATATTTTGCTGTTATCAAGATGAACTTCAATAATGATTTTGACATATTTTCAGCTAGAGGATTAATATACTTATTACATAAATATTATATTTTAAATATTATATAAATATTTTAATAAATTTTGAAACAATCCAGCCTTGCTTAACTGTTTAATTAAAGATTCTCATCCAGATAAATACTTGAAAATGCATTCTCAGTATTGCTTCCCAGTTTGCCTGGTTTGTGAACTTTCCAGTGGAATTAGGTCCTTGATAAATGCCAGTTTAAATTACCTGATATTTCCAAATAACTTTAKAATGGTTTCTAAGGTCATAGAAAAATCCTCAAATCGTCAGTCTATAAAAACATGTAACCTATGAGGCTTTTTTTGTTTTTTTATTTCTCCTCGCATAATCAGACACTACAGTTCCAGTGGAGATGACTGTCCAAGACATTTCATATTCAGTTTTATGCTGAGCCCGGTAACACATTGCAGATGTGCTCTCAGCATTCCGAGCTGCAATGGGTGTACGCAGCTCTGCTGTATTTCATAGCGCGTTACGTGAGGAAGGGCCATTTGGTCATCTCATTCCCTAGGCTCTTGTGTATCCCAGGCCRTTATCCCTCACACCAGTACCGCCCCAGCAAGCCCAAGGACTCGAATTAAACTAAAGCATTTCAGCTCTCATGAGGGTAAGATGTGCACTATGGGCAGAGAAGAAAGGGCACTACCCAAAGCCCCATATTAATATGGAATTGATGAGATATGCTTGAATGATCTCTGCAAGATCATGCTTGGCTAAGACCCTGACATAAAATCCCATTTCATAAATATCTAACAATCTTTTCCTGCTTATGTTCCCAGACATGCTTGACTTTACAATTAGCACTCTCAAGCAGAAGTGCTTTTCCCAAAATTACAGACTTAGATTTATGCAGCATCTCTCATGCATAAAATGCAAGATCTCTACAGCTTTTCCAGAAAGGAAGGAAAAAACAACCTTACACAGAAAAGGAGAGCTTTCAACTTCCTTTAAAAGACGTTTCTTTATGTAGAGGGCTAATCAAATGCCAAGAAAAAGATTCCTGGATCACGGCTTGAGCAAGCTACTGCAATCAACACTTCAAAACAAATTGTCTGTGCTGCCTTCGGAAATTTTACTGTATGTATTAGTTCTACTTTGGCAGATATTCAGTTAGGAAGAACATGTGAAGATACTTTACTTACAGCATTATCTCCCAAAGCTGTTTTGATACTAAGCCGTACTTTGAAAGCATTCTGTGCATCTGACACAAAGAGAAAGAAAGCAAACATATATTGAAAATCATCCTAAAAATGGGATTTTAAATCATTCACTTCTGTAATTATTCTACATATTACAACTTCTAAATTAGTTTGGATAGGCTGATTAGTAGATCTAGAAATAACCAGTGTGAACAATGCAGCAGCCCTATGGATTCTCAGAGAGATTTAACCAGTACCATTTTAAATCAGATAATATCAGCTTCTGTACTTAATTTGAAAACTCAAAAAAGACTTGAATGCTCTGAGTATCAAACTTGAAACTGCAAACAAGCCAGCTAAAACATCAGCTAAGCATCTGACAGCTTTTTAAGCATAAATTCATAGCTAAATTTATCTAAGGAAAGGATGGGAATCAGCTCCAAAACATACCTGGCTTGCAGAGCTCAGCATGAGCAAAGACAACCACAGAGAAGGCAAGCAGCAAAAAACGTAACATCCTTCCAGTGTGAAAAACCTGAGGCAAAAAGAAATAACTCTACTCTGTAAAGCACTCTTAAACTTTCTGTGACCCAGGATTAAAGCATCAGCAGCACAAGTGAGCGACCAAGTAGAAGGTTTAATAATTAACCCCCATTATTTTAGCTAAAACAAGCACTAGAAACAACTGTCTTCTGTCAGTTATTTATTACTTTTATCTGTAGGGAAAAAAAAAAGTTACAATAAGTATTTATTTTTATTCTTTTTTTTTCTCCTTKTTAGAACAATGCAAAACTTTACACRGTGTCACAAGTCAACATTTTTCTCCCTMAGATACYAGTTTAGACACACACACGTCTGAGATACATAACACAAGACTGGCCTGCCATAACATTGCCACCCAGGGCACATGAACTTGAAACTCCGTTGCCGCTGAGCAGTTTCAGCAAAAKCAGAAGGAAGCCACCATCATCCAGCCTTCTTGGGGAACAGGCTAGTGCAACTGAAGGCCTTTGAGCGGAAATGTAGGCCAAATCACAGAGACTAGGCTTCTCATCCATCCCCCAGAAGAGACAGGTGACTAGGAGGTCCCCAACTAACCAGGCAGGGTGCAGGGCACCAGCCATCACCAGTGATGGCATGGGGCAGTGCCCAGTCTCTGCATGAGGTCTCGCTGGTCTCCCTCATATGCCACCCAACCCATGCTTCGCCCTAAGCCCGTGTCAACTCCCGCACGTGAAGGCCGATGTCAGTGCCCCAACCCAACGCTGTCCTCCCAGCCCAAAGCTTGTCCTCAGCGCGGGCGTATGTGAGAGCTGGGGACACCACACGGCACAGGGCAGGGCTGGGAGGCGGCCGCTGACCGGAGGCAGCCGCCCCATGGAGCTGCCTCTCCCACAGGCGCCGTGGTCCCAACACCACCAGCCCCACGCACCGCGTGGCTCTCACACACRCAGCGGGAGGCTTCGGCCCAGGCAGGACGACTACAGCACCAGGACCTCCTGCGAGGCCACACTGACTGAATCCAGTGGCGCCTGGTCAGCGTGACAGGCCACAGCCTCGGGGAGAAGATCTCCAGGGCTACATAGCTCGTTTCACAAAACAAAATGCTGGGCCATTGCTTTGAACAACAACCACCCAAAAATGGTTCCCAAGGTTGATAGCTGCCTTCCCGCTGCTGCACAATTGTTACAGTTACACCGCCAAGCGGTGTAGGAAAAAAAAAATGCAATTAAAGGATTTCATAGGGAGGTATGTATGTATATTAAACATCATATTTATGTTTTGTATATATGACACACGTGCTGTATATCCACATGCACACACATCTATGAAAATAACTCAGTGATATTCTCTATGCTCTTCCCAAAGCATTTTCAAAGGCAAAGAAATAAACGCAGAGAAGAAAGAATTCAGAAAGTGAAATGCATCATTTCAAATTCATGACCAGTCTTGGCAGCATAGACAGCAAGGCAGAATGATTCTGTTCCACCRTGCTACTTTATTCGCCTTGTAGCCATTTTGATTAATGGTTGGTCCTTAAGTTGAAGATTGCTTCAGAACGATGCTCAGTTGCTCCTTTAACAGCAAGAAGCATTTTGAGAATACAACCCTAAAGACCTTCACATTACCAGAAAGAATATTTTACCTAACAATGCGACTGAATTTATGGGGGAAAAAGTCAGCATTTACTACTAAAAACACCTGGGTTTTCAGGTAATTGAGAATTTACTGGCACACTAATTCAATCTTATTCTTGAAATACACTGTTAAAGGAATTGATGTCCCATCTTTAAAGTCATTAAATCCTGGTGATTCCTTAGCATCTGTTTCCTTTCTCTAGGCAACCAGTTCTTAGTACAAACATGTTGGATATATTATCCACTTCAACATTCAATCTGTATTTATGAAAACATAGGAAGTCATATATTCATTTCTAGCAATGGCTTAAATGAACATACAGTATGTATATGCTCTAAAAGGAAAGCACTCAAAATTTACAGCTGTCTCAAAGTGCAGTTTTCTGTAAATTTGTAGTTTAAAAATATATACATATATGAATGTTAAGTTTCTTGCCAAACGCTCATGCATTTTTTTCAATAATCRACATTTGAACTTTGCTGTATCATTGAGGGAAGTATTGGAGTCCATAAGAGTGGAAAAACTTTCCTGCTGCCAGAAATGGAACAGAACTGATAGGCAACATGACTCATCACTGCTGCAAATCCCTGAAAATTAGCTGTTTCCTTTGGAACCACATGCAGCCAGTGTTGGAGCACACTGAAGTGACACACACCAAAACCTCTGAGAGCAAGACCGGATTCCCTGAGCGGGGCTGCTGACACCCAAACCGGATGGCTGGTTTCGTTGATTTCTCTTGCTAGCACGCAGTAAAACGAAGGATTTTCCTGGCAGAGGGGGAAAGCATCCAGGAGGTGAAGGAGAGTGATAAACACCTGGTCCTGGGCTCACGGGGAGAGCATCTTGCCCTTGACATTTACACCCATGGCAACTTGCACGCACTCCCAATGCACCCACTGACTGCGCGTGTGCTTGTTCAGCTGAACATGCACAGAGCACTGCACATAAAACAACTCACTGTAGCACATCAGTAAATCTTCTTTTGTCCCCAAGCTGACGTGGCTATGCATCTCTACAATAAATCTGTGTGCATGTATAACCTTCTCCTTTTTGGTTTCTTTGTTTTCCTCTAGTTTTGGTCAGATAAGGGAATGCTGTCTAAGTACATATGTATTTGTTTGCTTCTAACTCACCAGTTACACACCAGTTTCCTTGAACATATGACAATCTACATGCATATCTGCAAGATATATATTTTATTCCTGCTTTTAGTTAGTTTTGAATACATTTAGATTTTTAATTTTTAATTAGTTCATCTATTTTTTTCTCTAATGTTTAAGTATGAAAATGTAGCAGTGTTTAATCGGATACACAACTTACATCTTGGAAATATCACTGAACTAATGCAATGAATTGTTGCTGTTCATTTACTGCATGAATGTGTCTGCCTGGCTAAAAATAGCAGTATTTCCAAAGTCATTTCCAATGCTTATGACTTCCAAAAGTTCATATATGCATATATGCATATATGCAATATGCTATATTATCATGTATATACATATACTTAACAGTATAGCAGAATTTGGACTTTTAAACAGATCAAGAGAGGACTAAAGCCTCAAAAAAGCATACGACTTGATAAAACAAACAAAAATCTCCCATCACCTTGATGCGATTAACAATGTACCATTCTACTTCTTTCAATGTCTTTGAAATGGAAAATCCCAGGAAAGTAAAATATTGATAGCTATCATATAAGTTAATTAACAGCTATGGCCAAACTCAACCCCAGTTTTCAAATTTGACAAATTAACAGTTTTAAACTCCRAGGAAGTTAATATTTAGTCCTAAATAGTTGTGTTCCACTCTTATGAGGAAAGAGTCAATGTGCTACTGTCAGCATTAGTCAGTCATGGAAATGTACCTGGAGAGCCACAGAGCTCGTTGTACAGGGTGTTTTGCAGTCCCCACATGCAGTGAGAACAGCAAGCGCCGCACGCCTTTTGCAGGCTCCAGACGCTGCTGAGATCAGGATCTATGTAAATGACWGTATTTTCCAATAAAACAGTGCTGGCTGAGATGGGTCCAATCCAGGTCTCATAATTTGGGAATTCTACTCACACTTTGTGCAACAGGGTATTGAATCACACTCAAAGTCGTTGTCAACACTGTAATAACAGAGAAGTGACTTACATTGTTACCGAGCTTTTATTAGTGCTCACAGCAGTATTTGGTCTGTGAGAAATCATTTATTCATTGCAACAGGACCACAGCCATGGGACTGCAGGTGGGGGAAGGAAACATTCTCCAGAGTTCACATATATTGTGCACTTTGCAGTGAAGAGCACTGCAGATTGCCCACAACGGGACTACCACCGAGAATGAACGTGAGGCACTGCCAGCGTAGTACAGAAAGATGGCTCTCTTGCTGCCACTTCGCTAATTACCTTGAAGCATCACTGAAAATCCAAGACTTCTGATCTCAAACCCACATTTCCTGAATGTCTTCTAATAGACATGCTTTTTTTTTTTCCCTGTCAAACATTTCAGTCACTGATGGACTGTCCTGTCCCTTGTTTTCCAATTTCAATTTTCTTCAATAAACAAAATGGAGAACATAAGCCGTACAGCTCCATGAGGAAAGCTCTACTGAAGAATACAGCAAAAACTCAGAGATCGATTTTAAGATTATCTTTTTGCCTATAACATACATCTTTCTTTTTTTCCCTCATGGGCTTAGGCATATAACAAAACCAGCAAGAACTTATTTGCAAGTGTCAGCCCACAGTGGTGGGAAGGAAAAGAAGCCCATATGAATCAAGTGCAAGTGGAACATCAACGTGTGCTTGGCAGGGGCAGCGGCTGCACCGTGTCTCTCTGAGCGTCCGGGTCTGCACGAGCATCTTGCAACTCGCGCCCGGGTTTATGCAGGAAAACGGTGCTCAGCTTCAAGCTGCAGAAGAAACGTCCCTGTGCTCTTTCTGTGCCACTCTGTGAAGTATAATCTGTACTACATTGTACCTACATTGTATGGTAGTGTACGTGCCATGACAGAAGAAGGTGGATATCTTTTTCTTGAGGAAAYGCATCTGCAAACCTGTGGGAGGCTTCTGTGGAAATGAAAAATGTTTGAAGAGGCTGATGTTCGAAAATACAAGTGTAAGGGTTAACAGCTACTGAGCAGAACGCTAGTTTACTTCGGATATGTGAATGGAACTTTCCAGCTAGGAATGGACCTATTTGTCTCCTTCTAAAACAAATATTTCACAACCGCGTAACAATTTAGTTGCATGGAATCATGTATTTCACCATCCAGTTGTTGTTACATGTATAAATTAATGTGAATAAGTTAGAAAAATGCAGCTATTGTGTTCCCATTCAAAAAAAAAAAAAAAAATGCAGCTTCTTCACAATCATCACTTTCAACTGTAAATTAGAGGTAAAACTTACACCTGCTACTAACTAACATATGTGTTTTCTTACAAAAATATCCTCCTTTTCACCATTCAAATACATTAAGACATRTATTTCCCAAAGTGTATTAAATCAGCATCTAATACAGATGGCCACAATTAAGTGAAGCAAGTTAATCAAAGAAATTATTTAAAYTTTTCATACAGACTTATAAATTGCAAAGGAAGGTCATCCTATACCACTTGTTCTCTTRAGAGGAGGATGAAAAGGTAGACCTGTAAAAACTGGGTCAGAGAACTTCAGTGGCAAGCAAAACCTTAATAAAATAACATTTACGAAGCACGTTTGGTCGTGTTTTTTCCAAACTTCCATGGGTGTGTAGGGTTCATCAGTTCTAAAGYGCACAATACTGCCATCTCCTGTAGCCAAGCAGCAGCATATTTATGTATTATTTTATATGTATATCCCACATGAGCTGTAAACTGTAAAAATAACAGTGACGTTATCAACTCCTTCATCTTAAAAGGCACTGTAGGACCTGAAGCAGGTCGAAGGGGGGCATGAACCTCGAGGTACGCTGATCAAATGGCAGGTGCAGCTGCCGTCTGTAGCAATGACGAGCGCTTTGAACAACCTCCCTGAGCTTCGGCATTGCTGCGCAACCCGCTCACCGAGCCGGCGACGCGCAGGACGCCTGCGYTTGATGTGGATGTAACCGTTTGAGGTGTGTGAGGCAGCTTCGCTGCTGGCAGCTGGGGCACTTGAGCACTGCCCCGAGGACGCCAGCACCCGCGCTACGGCTTTAGGCGTTCACTTAACCGGCAGTGCAGGTTACTAAGGAGTCCTCGGAACACGCCTGAATAAACGCTGCGCACGCGCTGCCCCCAGGGGAAGCCCGGATCCCGGCCGGACCCCGTTCCCGGAGGCGAGGCCCAACGGTCACCGAGCCCCGCGCGCCGCGCCCGGC